TATTTTCTATTTAAAAGCCGCAAGTTTGAATAAAAACTTATTTGATATCTTGTCTAACCCAAATTGATATTTTAGGTTTATAAGCTTTTTTTTGATTCTTCTGTGAGTTTTTTTTATAAAAATAGAGATTGCATTAATTTATATCTTAAATTTTTATTATTATGGGAAAATGCATATCATTAGTTTTTTAGCTTTATACGTTTAGAAGCGTTCTCCTTCTCATAAACTCTATTAAATCAAATCACAATTTCGAAACTATATTGTTGTATATATTTTGTTCTGAAAAATATTATTAATAAATTAAATTACTAATTTCATACAAAAACTGGTTTTATATGATCTGGCAAACACAGGCAACGTTGTAATACTAATATGTGTCCTTTCCATATATCATCATAATTAGTTTTCACAACTTATTAAAGATAATGTTTTAATTTAATATTGAAAATTGTTAATAAGGAGAGCATTACTTTTTCTCAAATTTATAATAACAATAATATTTAAAAATAAAATGAGATTCATTAATGTTTCAGCATTACACTGTCAGAAGCACTCTTTTTATTGCAAGCTCCATAAAATCAAATCACAATTTAAAACGTTATTGTTGTATATATGTTGTTTCAAAAAAACTGCAAGATTTAAACAAAAAACTTGTTTGATACCACGTCTAGCCAAACTTATTTTAGCTTCATATGATAATTCTTTCTTTTTAATTTTTTTCTAATTTTATATAGACAAAGTCGTAATAATATTTGGTGTCCTTTCGTTGAAATAACGTCAGCATAATAAGTTTTCAAAACTTGTTTCGAAGACTGATTATGCAAAATGAATGTTAAACAATTATTTAATAGTATCTTCATAAATTAAATTCATAAAACTAATAACTTACATATAGTCTCTTTCCCAGAATCTGTATCAGAGGTACTAGTCTTCCATAAGGAGCAACAATAATCCATGGCGTCGTTTGCAAAACGTCGAATTAAGTTAGTTGATACTAACAAAATTAAGCCCAAACAGCAACGATTCATAATTATGACACATTTTTATTTCACTAAAAACTTGTAATTAAAATATTTAAATTATAACTATATTTAATTCATTCAGCTACATGTTTCACTATGCATGTGCTCCATTGTGTAGTTGAAGAATATTTTCTACAGCTGCAGCTAATGTTTCCTAAGTTTTTTCATTCCAAATGCTAGAATAATATCTCATTAGTGTAATATGTATCATACATATGTTTGTATAAAAATAAGATAAGTACAGCTTTCTTATATTTAAACCTCTACAAAGGCAAAAAATTGTACACAGTGCATTTCGTCGACAAAGAATCATAACTTAGCATGCATATGTATATGTATTTTACATATTCATATAAATATATATATATATATATATAAATATATTTATATATAAATATATATATATATATATATATATATATATATATATTTACTTCTGAACTAAAAGCATAAAGTTTGTTCCACAAAAATGCTATTTCATTTAAAAAAAATCCATTATTTTATTCAGCGATTTGAGGACTTGGATTGACTATGGATTGACTCCTTCTTCGAGAACTATTTATAACAAATAAAAAAATATATTATACATATTTACATTTTTACATATTATACACATTTAATTATAATAAAATTGATAGAGTTAAATTTTAAGAGTCTTAACGATTTTCCAATGCACAATTAAATGGGGAAATAATTAGTTATTATTGGAGAACAATTAGTTATTATGAGCTTTTAGTTCAGAACGTTAAAATAATAGCTATCCAGGAAACTTAATTAATTAATAATTATTAAAAAAATATCGAAAATTCTCGTCATATCTAATAGAAGCATAATATAACTTAAAAACAATTAATATAGAATAGTTTATATATTATCTTTTAGTCAATTTTATAATTAACATTTTCAATAATATCTTCAGATATAAATTTAAAAGCAGCAAATAGTATGTTTCACAAATTAAAAATATTATATTAAACATAAATACCAATGTGATAATGACTTTTCAGACAAAACTTTGTTAATTTTATATATCATTATCACATTACATAAATAGTAATGTGATAATGACTTTTCAGACAAAACTTTGTTAATTTTATATAATTTATTACTGCAAATTATTTTACCGGTGAAATCATCCCTCTCATTATAGAAAAAGTATTTTATATATTCATTTTTGAACAAACAATATAAGTATATTTATAATGTTCAATTTAAACTTTATGTTCCAAACTGTAGAATCATTTTTTTATCAATGTGTATTAATTGTTTTCAGAAAAAACCTACAAAATTCCAAAATTTCGATTAATAATATATAATCCAAAATATAATTTATTCTTCATATTTCACTATACTGCCCCACCAACGATCGTCTGAATTCTCTTTTCTATTTGATATTGCGTGACTTACCACTTGACCTTGAGTAGAGAATTCAGACTCCGACAATCGTTGGTAGGGCAGTATAGTGAACGACTTGTAACGGATAACACATAATGCTAATTTAGGTTTCCATATTTTAGATTTTAAATTATAACACACTGATGATGAGACAAACCTAGTCTCGAAACGTTTGTAAAATTATTATTTAATAAATTAGTGCAAAAAAGAGTGGTGTTTGTTCATATTTCTAAATTAATATATATCTATGCACTTAGAATACATTTGTTATATATATATATATATATATATTTCAAAGTAACTAGCAGCCCATTCGTCGAAATAAAAAAGGTATAAAGTGTAAATACTTTTATTTATACGTTTCGACACAAGATGCGTGTCATCATTCAGCAACACAGGACAAAAACACTCAACAAAAATTTATTTTAAAAAATTAAACTTAATAACATATTAGAGAAAAACATTTTTTTAAAAAATTATGAATAACTAAAAGATTTGAAACTAATTTGACTAAAAGTTATAAAATACATAATTGTGAGACGAGAAACACGCCCATACCGAGCATCCAGACTCGACTCTATATATATATATATATATATATATATATATATATATATATATATATATATATATATATTCATATAAGCCATTATTATGAACAAAATGCAATATAACTTTTTTAATGGAATAGTGCATGCTGAATTAATTAAATTGTAGGTTTAAACAATATAATTAACTTCCCGTAGGGTAAGTTATAGTAATCGTCCAAAAATCGAAATCAAAAATTTTTACATTTCTCGACGTTTTGAAGGTTTTTGAACATTTTGGCATACTTCAGAAAAAATGGATGTGTGTGTGTGTGTGTGTGTGTGTGTGTGTGTTTTGTATGTCCGCTTTTTTTCGTCCACGTTTTCGGGCGCACGGATCAACCGATTTTGAATGGTTTAAAAAACATTCGATTCCTATTGATAGGGAGATGTGCTGATTAGTTTTTGGCAAAGGCAGGTCCAGCCGTTACGGAGATATGGAGCAAAGAGTGCAAAAAATAGAAAGCGAATTTTTGAGAGAACGGATCAACCGATTTGAATGGTTTAAAAAACATTCGATTCCTATTGATAGGGAGATGTGCTGATTAGTTTTGGCAAAGGTAGGCCCAGAGGTTTCGGAGTTACAGAGCTAAATTTAAAAAAAATGGCTGTTTTTGAGAGAACTAAGCGTCCGATTTAAATGATTCAAAGAACTTTCTGCTTTTTTCAACAAAACAATTGATTTTGGAAAAAAAAATTTTTTGATTCTAATTTTTTTTCAAAAAAATTTTTTTGTAATTTTGGACTAAAAATTCAAAAAATCACCCAAGCTAAGCACAGTCTAAGCGCCACTCTGGTACAAATGTTTACCCAAGTGCGTTTAGACTGTTTGTGTACTGGAGCACTTTTCCAATTTTGTGAAAATTATTGAAAAATGTGAAAATGCCGCCAAGCTGAGCACAGTATAAGTGAAAATATCGCACAGAATTATTTGCAAATGCGTTTAGACTGTGACTATGCTGGAGCACTTTTTCAATTTTGTGGAAATTTGGCAACTATTTTTTTTTTTTGAAATTTGATTCGAAATGAAATGACGATTGTTAATGTTCTGGAGGTGATAAATTGATTTATTTATAATTAACTTTCCGTAGGGTAAGTTATAGTAATCGCACAAAAATCGAAAATGAAAATTTTTATATAACTTTACGTTTCAAAGGTTTCTGAATATATTGGCATACCTTAGAGAAAATTGATGTATGTGTGTGTATGTGTGTGTGTGCGTGCATTTGTGTGTGTTCAGATACAAATTTTCGTCGACGATTTCGGGAATCGGGATGAAGCAATTTGAATAATTCAAAAACATTTTACTTTCATTATCAAGATGAAGATTTGATGAAATTTTTATGAAATTAGGTCTAGCGGTTTCAGAGATCTAGTAAAAAAAGTAAAAAAAAAATAACATTTGGCGGTCAACAATAATCATTAGACATTAGACATATGCACATCAAATTATCAGATATTTTATAGAGATTTTAACAATGAGTATACATTTTGTTAACATTCCTATGGGTTCCGTACCAATGCTTATGCGTTAGACAGCGACTAACGCAATATTTAGTCTCTATGCATTAAAGCAGTACGATTGCTTTGAAAAAAAGTTCAAAATTTCCAAAATATTTCAAAATAAATTTTTCAACAAAAAATTTTGTCAAAAATTTATATAGTTCCTCAAAAATCTATTTTTTTAGAGTAAATTTTTTTAAAAAATGTTAATCTTTTCAAAAAAAAAATAATTTTTGGTACGGGAAGTTCCAGCAATTTGCCTTAAGGCACGATGCCATGCGCCCCACTAGTTTTTTTTAAATTACAAAACATGGAGTTAATCTGTAATAAATCAATGAAGCATATATGTATATACGAGTATATTAATAAAATTATACAATTTTGAATTAAAATTTTCAGTCAATGAGTATCTTCTAATTTTACATATAAGTAGTATATGGCTTATGCAGTATATTACAATAAGTTCATTTTCTAGATTTATTATGTGTTAAGAGTTCATAATGGATACAAATGGGTTTCACCAAAAATTCTATCACCGCTTTGCAATAATAATAATTCAACACCTTCCCGGTAATAATTTAGCAAGGATGACAATTTGCTAAAACATAAAGATCCGTCCTTGTTGTTCATAAGAGCAAATTTCCCACCTTCCTTTTTTATGATTTTGATGTTATAAAATTGACGTCGAAATTGCAACATCACAGCATAGCCTGAACCCTGAATAATAAATTTTAGAACTTGGTATTATAATCTATAGATTTTTGAAAAATGATTTCCACTTAACAAAATAAGATTAAATAAAATTATATTTTATACGATCTAAAATGATTAGGGTTTAAAATGTAGCCTATTTTTAAGTCTCATAATTAACTTTTTTTTTTCATACCGTTCCTGATGGCCTGATTAGAAAAGTGCCATCCTTTTTCTGTTCAAGCAAAGATATTCCATCTTGTCTCGTAACATTCCGATAATTAGGATTTTCTTCTACTTCCCTTTCAAAGCTATCCAAGTCATTTACAATAGGTAATGGAGGAGCCCTTCCCTGAGGAAGTTCTACTTCAATTGGAATCGATGGTAATGGACGAAACCCGGACGAAGAAATTGGTAATTCTGAATAAATGCATATAAAAATTAGGTAAAATCATAAGTGGAAATGATATTAAAAAAGATTTATTATAAATTACGCGCATAATAGCAGGTTGGTTAGTTATCATCATTAAGAAGATATTTTGGTCTAAATTAAAAAAAAAAGTGTAAATTCCATAATTTTCATTTGTTTTATAATACAAAATATTTTCAGAGATTTAGCTGTTTGACCACGATAACCTTCCCCTGATGGTTTCTTCCTCCACGAAGCTCCAAACGCATTTTTCTTGAAACTTGTTTTTTGATAGGCTACCCACGATTTCCCTACTTCTACTAAATCAATGTTATTTAAATTTTCACATGGTTTTTATTATACACATTATTTCAATATTAGGTTGTCAAATATCTACCTTCCGCTTTTTTGCTCTTGGTTTATAATGCAAAAAGGCGGAAGGGAGATATTTGACAACCTATTATAAACATATCCCTAAATTCCAATGTTTACTATTTATGAAAATTTTGAGAACGTCAAAAAATTATTTTCAGGCAATCGCTATTTTATGAAAAAGCAAATTTACTTGTCCGTAGTTCATACAATACAAAATTGTCCAGATGAATTATATGAACATTTTTTGTAGATCAAGTGCCAATTTTTGGAAAACTGACCCACCCCCAATTTATCACCTTGTATAACTAAAACTTTATATTTATAATCTTTATTATTTAATATACCCTCGAATTTATTAATTACATGTAACAAAAAATATAGTGAAAATATTGTTTTTTTGCAGCCATTCAAAAACCTAATATTCATGCCTCTAGATCAAAGAATACCCCCTTAAATTACTTAAATGTAGATACATTATTTTACATCCCTAAAATGGAATGAGACCCAACAAATGTTCTTGTTTTTTGCTTATTTTGGAGCTCAGAGAATTGCTTATTGATTTATTGATTAAACCAATAACTTTGCTTAATGGAAGATCATCAAAGAATACCCCCTTAAGTTACTTAAATGAAATTTCTACATTATTTTGTATCCCTAAATTGTGTAAGACCCACCAAATGTTCTTGCCATTTGGGCACAAGTCAAACAATTATAAATAAAAATATTTTTATTATTAAAATTATTAAAATAAACCTTCATTGATTGGCACTACATATTCATCATCATCGCTCTCAGGTTCAGTCTTTTGCAAAGGCAGATTTTTCTTAAATGATAACACGCGATCCAAACTCGATTGAAATTTTTGATTTCCCTGAAAAAAAATTTAGTAAGTAACATATATAGTTTTTTTCATAAAATGTAAAAACAAACCTTTCCTTCTTTCGCACTTGTTAAATCATTAGTATTTTTGTCGACTAAATTCGATGAACTTGTAGAAGAATGCTGATTTTTATTTTTGAATCTTTCATTATTTGAAATTGGTGCATTACTTCTTGGTGAATCCTGAAGAAAAAAGCACAGTTAAGAAATTTACAATTTATTATTTTAGTACTTCTAATAAGTTTTTTCATTTAGCTTAACTATAATTTTTTGTAGTTATCAAGTTGATATGTATACGAATATATAAACTAGGTAAGAATATTAGTTAACTGTTTAACTTAAATTAGTTAGTATTATTTATAAATTTTATATACAAAATTTTGTGTATATTCCACTTACATAGTGACTAACTCGATCTTCGTTAAATTCTTTAACTGATCTGCTAGTGGTTGACTTTTTATTCTGTAATAATATAAAGATTATATTATTAATAAACATTTAAAGATAATTAGAGTTCATATTAAATATCTTCGAATTTTTATTATTAAATGTTTTGATTAATTGTGTGTAATCTTATTTAATGCAATAATATAAAAAATTATATTATTGGATCTTAGATTGCACATGAAAGGCTACGTATTGAGAAATCAAAAATACACATATTTACTATAGATTGCCGATTAGTATATAAATAAATGACTCCTTAATTAAACATTTCTTTGAATTGGTTTGTTATTAAAGTTTACAAAAATATTATCTCAGTTTTATTTTCTTTTTTTTTCTTATCTGATTCATAACAGTCAGAGTTGATAAGATTGCTAAGAATAGAAATTTATAAAACATCTCTTGAACATCAATATTTATAAAACATGCTATTTTATAAAATTCCCAATTTATATTCTTTTTATCGTTACCTGTACATTTTTTTCATTTAACACTTTCTTCAAGGTCTTTACCTGAATATTTGAAGACAAAGCATGTCTTGGTGACATTTGGGCGTATCCATCATCTTCTCCCTCAACTTCTGGTAGAATGTTATCTTCTTTTATGTTAGGAACTAAAGAGCGTTCGATTTTTTTTCGCAGTTCATTAAAATTACTGGTTGTTGGTCGATTTTGATCTTTAGACGTGGATGGTGTGATGTGATCAGACGATGAAGGTGTATTTTTTAAACGATCTTTTAAAGCTTGAGCTAATTTGGTACTCAAAGTTGAATTGCGCAGAAGTTTGTCTAATTCTTCCTTAAATAAATGAAACGTAAATTTGATAAATATTTACAAAATTAACAAGCAAACTAAATAAAACAGTTCAAATTCTTATAATTGATAATTGGTGAAAGTAAATTGGAAAAGTTCTGTTTGTCTACTATTTATTTTTTAGACATGAAAGAAGACTCTGCAAAGCGTCATTAATTGATTTATCTAAGTTCTGGTTGACATAACAAATTTAATTTACCTCTAAATTCTGATCTTCTTCTGGTGCAGGTTCAGTATTAATAGGTTGTTTAAAACCATTGCTTTCGTGTAAATTTGAAATAATTTTTGGCAATTTTGTTCGTGGTTTTGAATTTTCGTGAGAAATCTTCCTGGTAGGTTGTTCATCTTTTTGGGGAAGAGATTTGAAACGGTCTGGTTTCTCAGGCAACGAAGGCGAACGTCCTTCATTTCTAACATCATTTTCGTAAGCAAATGCTGGTTCAATTCTAGAACTTGAACCATGAAGATCATCTTCTTCATCATTTTGATAAATTTGGTCTACAGAATCAAAACTATCATCAGATTCATACCCTTCATTATTATTCTTCACACCAACCGTGGCTTCGAGAAAATATTTGTAATACGTATCAGGATTTTCTGTCAATTGATTTACGAATTTCAGAAGAGCTTCGGAATCACTTCTTGATATTTCATTTTTCCAAAATTGCAATTGATGTTGTTTCAAGCCCTATTAAAAAATTATAACAAATGTAAACATTTATTGGGTTGGAAAATTTATTTACATATTAAGAATAATATAAAACTTATTCTGGTAATAATAATTACTATATTATATAATATAAATTAATATTTATTTCCTAATATCAAATTAAATTGAATATCATACTTACAAAAATAGCTCTTCCATCAATTTGATATAATTCGATAGCATTACAGCAATTCTCAAGACCGAACTAGAAATGAAAATTTTCTTAATTAGAAAAATTATATATATATATATATATATATATATATTATAAATATATATATACATATATATTATATATATATATATATAATATATAGTTTAGTTGTTTTAGATTCAATACTTCAATGATACTGAAAAAGGAGATTTTTCAATTTGTACAGTACAAATAATTAAAAATAAAAAAATAAGTAAAAATAAATATTTTAATTTAAAAATATAAAATTATTATATTTATTAATAATTTATATAAAAATAATAATACAAAATAAAAAAATTACTGAAGCAAAATCAAAATGATTTAAAAGATCAATCATAAAGTAATTTCTCAATTTGGCAAACATTTTATGTGAATTCAAAAATATTTATTGAATAAATAATTTAATCTGTAAATTGAACTGAACATATAATCTATATTCGCAAAAATTGTTAAATTTTTAGGAAATCTATATAAAATCTGTCTAATCTGAATTTTTGATCATTCAAATCATAAAACAGCGGTGTTTAAAAATTATCTTTCATCATTTAAGACTTCTATGTATTAATGGTTAAATATAAAAGATTAGATAAATTGGAAGTGCTATCTAAAAGACTCTTTATTGTCTGAGATAATGTCACAGTTCAACGAAATTAAAACGTTAGATAAAAATGTTAATTTCGCAAATTCTAGTAAAAACAAATTTATAAAATAAAATTTGAAAATATTGAAAAATTAAATATGCTTAAAACTATAAATACATAAATAGCTAATATTTAAAATATAATTCAGAAAAATTAGTGCACAAGTTTTGTAAGTGCCTAAATTTTTCAGACCTAATTTGTAAAGTATACTTTAAAATATTATACGTTATATACGTTAAAATATATTTTAACTCCCAATATAAAAATAAACCTGAGCTTTTCTTTCGAATTTTGTATATCTAATAATAATAATATTATTAATTAATAAATAAAAAAAAGTTTAACATACCAGTTTCAACAGTGCCACGATTTTAGCAGTATCATATTTTTCAATAGCTTTTCTTGCTTCATATTTCTCAGCAAAACCCATGATGGAAACTTTTTTTTAAACAATTTTTCACATGCCACTTTTGTGTAATATTTAATATTACTTAAAACTTTTTTATTAATAATAATATTACTTACACTTTTTTTAATAATATTATTACAACTTGGTAACGCCACCACATGCAAATATATAGCTACATGGAAAAAAACAATGAATTTGTTAAAAAATATAACATATATTTATATAAATTAAAACATCCAATATTAGTAAATATTAATTAAACGAAACTTTAATATCATACGTGAATAAATTAAGTAAATTTTAAAATTTTGATTGTTATTTGTTTACCTTAATTTGTTTGGCATGGGCGTCGCCTCTCTGTTTCACTTGTAATTACAAATTAAATTTTAAATTTTTATTTATTGTATTATAAGAACTATTTCATGCAAACTGTATTAGATTCACAAAACTGTATCACAAATAATAAATTTAAAAAAAAAAATTGTAATTAATCTGCAAGCAATAAATTTGAAATAAATGCTGTCAGCTATAGCATTTCATATATGAACACACAAAAGATAAGAAATTTTATTTTATGTATTGATGTGCGAAATAAGGCAGTCGCGGAAATCATATCTCTATACATAAAATGATAAGTACTAGTACATGTGTAATATTTATTTATAATATGACAAATTAGTTATAAGTGTGAAGAAAACATACATACACTCATTCATATCAGAATTTTTTTTTTCGAAATTGCTATTTTGGTGTCTTTTGTTCCAACTTAGAGTAAAATCTGTTGTTGTGCTAAAAATCGTATGAAAAATATTCTAAAGAAATATAGAATTTTGCATATAATAAACAACTTTGAATTACTTACTGCCTAAAATTTAGGCAGTACATCATACCGTGTCCAGGGAGTCCGTACCGTGTAATATGGAAACCGTGCTATAAGAAAATCGGATTTAACGTACAATCCGTTGTATAAAAATCGTGTTAAATGGATTTAAAAATCAAACTTTACACACATATTGTAAAAGATAAAATAACCAATAATAAATCCTATGAAAAACTGTATGCAATATTGAAGAATGCATACTCCTTTCTTCAGCAACAACAACCGTAATGAACTTGGTAGTCCGATCACTGTCAGTATTTCAACAAACATAGACCACCAATGCTGCATTTAATGATAAGAACTTGTAAATAAACCATTTGAAGTTGTATAAAAATATCGATATAATATAGTTATAAAATTGTCCTCGGTTGGTTGAATTTCTATCCATACTATTTTTTTGGCAAATACCTTGACAACTAAGCAAACGGCAACTTGTAAATTTGATTATTTTTATTCTTCAAATGTTTAATTATAGTACGGAAAATTCTAGCAATTTGCCTCAAAGCGTTTCTCAAAATAAATTACTTTCAAAGCGAATTCAGCACGTTAAGTGAGGCACCACTGCATATAATAAAATGAATATTAAAAATAAATTATAAGTCAATAAATAAAATATATGTATGTCATCAATATAATACTTTATTGTCTATGCAATATTTCAGATTGGATAAACAATTCTACATTCTTGATATATTTAGAACAACAAGTTTTCACAAAATTTACATTGACTTGCAAATATATTTTGTCATAAAATATGTGCTCACATCAATAACAAATGTATTGATGAACACTTTCATCTTTAAATTACTTTTCTGGATCATTGTTCCAAAAATTTTACAACACTTAAATGTTCAATTATAAGGCTAGAAAATTTATTATGTTCAACAAGATAGCTCTTATAATATATGATTGTTCATTATTACACTGAACATCGACGTATTATTTTTAAAAATCCCATTATGAAACGATAGGGATATCCGAATATTGTGAATGTATACAAAGCGAATGGGGAATTTAACTTTACATTTGCTAATCTAAACATTTGAAAATCCATCTTTATTTTAGGTTATTTATTAATAACTGGCTACTTTAGACATGAACTATAATTATTTTGCATTTAAAGCGTAGTATCAATGGATCATAAATAAAAATAAAAAAAATATGTACACAGCTTTTATGGATTTTATAAATAAACCTTGCAAACATGTGCTTTGCTTCGTGATTTGTAAGAAAATGGTTTATGCAAATTATTTAAAGAAAAAATAAATTTAAATAGAATAAGGTGATGAATTCACAAAACTAACTTGGTTTCAACATTTTTATGACAAATCAGTAAATAAAAATGATGAATTAATTATCTTATGTTTTGAATAAAATGAAGAGTTATAAATGATAATCATTGAATAACATAATAAGTATCGTATGGAAACGTTCTTAATATGTCTAGAGTCAGAAAGAACTAAATAATATGAAAAAGTGAGGAAATAGTAATATAAAAGTAGTACAATAGTGTTGCAATTATGTGAACGCAAATATTTTTAAATAGAATAAAATTATATATGTTTTCCATAAATATACTTAGAGCAATCCTGAAATCAAAACAACGTTAGAACATTTTGCACCACTTATTATATAATTTTAGACTAGTGAAAAACTCGCCATAAATTTCGTAAGAATTACTATTGCGATTTGTATTTACTCTCAAATTATACATATATTAATTCTAAATTTACATTTCATATTTATATTTATGTGACAGAATTATTAATTATAGATACAATAAATGCATTTATAAGTTGCATACATGTATTAGGCAAAAGACAATACTTATTCAAAAATTATCATTTCATATTTATATAAATAAATATATATATATATATATATATATAAATACTTTGATATTTACGATAGGCATACGGAACATATCTTTGTTTAGAGAGAATAGGAAGTGATTAATTATTTTTGGGAAAGTAAGCTATATTTAAATATTTTAGTTCATCATAAATCATCTGCCGCAATTTTCAATCCGGCGTGTAAATTATCAAACAGTAATTTTGACTAAAAGATTTCCTACGTGTTTGATTACACCTGAGACATTACATGTCTTGCCGCAATTCAAATCCCAAGAATTCTAATAACAATACATATATTTATATTTACAACAAAACGCTTATGAATATCTTAAAAATAACGCTGTACAAAAAATTATTTGACCAGAATCCAAAACAATTCTTAACATATTTTGAAAATTTTCTAAAACGTTTGAATATAATTTAAAAAATCAGACAAGTAAAACGGCACTTAATTTTCAAAGTAAAACATGATATTTGACAACATACATATCTTAATATTGTTGTTGAATTTCACGGTGAAACCGATATTGAAGAAAAGTTTCCAATGCAAATTTGTACTCATACTTATTAGTATGAGCAATAATTCAAAATACATAGATTTCGTGAAGTACATTTAATGAAGGATATTCCAATAGTTTAGATAAAATAAACATAACGTTTCATAACTTTTGAGTAATAACTTAAAAAATATTATTAATTTTGCAGTTTTTCAAGTCGTTATTTATGAAAGAGATAGGTATGATGACGATCAGCCTCTAGTTTTTAAAACTGATGCCGAATTAGTGGTCACGGACATGTGGTGATATTTTTAATGCTTTTGAATTCAATGCATGTAATTATTGTTTCTCGCACCTATGATATCGGTCTTATAAATTCTTCAATTTTATTTAGAAATATTGTAGATGTTGCAAATGCTAACACTTGATCGTATGTTCAAGTATTAAAATTGTACGCAAAATATTTTCTTATTTTAAAATCTACGTTTATATATGCGCACAAGCATACCTAATAATGACTTCTATCAAATGTTCTATACTTATTTTTCAAATCATCTCGCAATCAAACAATGATATTGGAATGTAGCAGTGATATAATATTTTGAAATGGCCAAGTCATTTTCGAATAATTTAACAAACAAAATCAGAACAGCTCATCTTTTCAAGAATTAAAGAAAACAAACCATACTTCAATAAGTTTCATGAAGGAATTTTTTTACTTCGATTATAAACATGGCCTTTTCGTGTGGGTTTATATTAATTTTTTGTGATATATTAACGCTATGAATACAATTATGCTCGCACATTTTGATAAATACAAAGATTTTGCAAGGCGATTATTTTTCTAAAATTATCTTACTTTTTATGACTGGTTTTATTATCATATTACACTAATAGTAACCGATATATAAATTAACTATACATTTATTTCCTTAATTATCTTTGTTGTACAACGATAAAAACATTCATAAGGTATGATATTATTTCAATATTTGTATGATTTGTGATAAGGTGTGCAAGTAGATTTCTCAAAATTTGAAAAATCTTGTGAAACTCTCAATCAAATTAGCAATCTCAATCATTTTGCTTATCTAATACTGAAAACGAAACATTTGTACGAAACGTAATGAAATGCAGGGGTCTCTACAATCTCATGAAATAATCTCCAGCTTGTAAAGGTTCTATATAACAACATAAATATATTTTAAAATTCTACTATACATATATATCATATATACACAAGCGCGGAATGGCGCGATCCTACAAAATACATAACACATACGTTCAACTAATTCAATGACAATAATAAAGAAATCTTATAACGAGACAAAAATTGTACAATAATATGACAAACCTATCACGTTACCAGCTACGACTGTTTCTCCGCTCGACTAAGGGCCAGGGCTAGTTCGAGATCCTCTTGTTCCTGCCTGACCCTTTTTAATCTCAATTCTTCGGCCCGCCGGCTCTCGGCAGCCGCCCAGGCCAGTTGTTTCTCTTCCGAAATAATCGGGGCGGAAATTCGGCCACTGGCTGTATTGTCTACCATCAATCTCGAAGAATCCAATAAGGGCCTAGGTGGTTCTGATGCTCTTCCATCGTTCACCGTTTGGTTCATGTTACCATCAAAGACATCCAAACCGAAAAGATCTACACTCGAAGCGTTTTTGTTTTTTGCGTTAGAAGTAGTAGAAAACCAATCGTTTGAAGAAGAAAACGCATCGAAATTATTTATTACAGAATTATCCGATGCCTTGTGTTCGTTATTCAATTCATCCATAAAAGGATCAGCTATATTAGCTAAATCTTCATATCTATAGTCCCTAAACGGATCGTCTGTGAAGTCTTGGACTTTAACAGTCGCTGGTGGTGCCTTCTCTAGCCCTTTATTAGGCTTCGTGTTAGAGTTGAATGCCGATGTTATTTGCTGAAGAGTTTGTGATATTAATGCAAGGGATTTTTTTTTCAATTTTTTTCGTATTGATAATTTTTATTGGTACTTATGTAGATCATATCTATTTATATATTTATATGTATATTATTTCTACAGTCTATCCGTAGTGAGTGTATTATTTTAGTAGTTAGTACGATGTATTAAATAGGTGTTATTTAGTGTTAGTCTCGAGATTAAGGCTGAAATAGAATTATGAAATTTTTTGTTAGCCATGATAGAGAAGCAAAGAATGTCCAGAAATTAAAATAATTTATTAAAACACAAATTAGTACTCATCAATAAAATTGGTCATAAATAAGAAACACTTTTTTACCAAATTTCTGGACAAAGAAATTTTGAAGAACATGCAAATTATCGTTTTGTATCACAACAATAACAAACTAAATTCAAACGTTATTAAAGCAAGCTGTTAGTATAAATTATATAAAAATACACAGAATATATCAGATAGAAAGATGTTATTTTGGTCAATCTCAAAAACTAACACTAAACAAGCATTCAATTACTAACATTCATCAAATTAGAATTAACTACTTTCTCTAGTAGCATGCAACAGAAAACATTAATGTAACTGAAAAGGGGTTTTTACTAAAAATTATATGCAATACTAAAATGAAAGACATGTAGAAATAAAAAGATATGATCATAATTAAAAAAATAACTTAAAATTTACACTAAACATCACATTGAACATTAAAATTGATAAAAGATAATATGTTAATCATGTTCACATGTAAATCAATTGAACTGATAAAGATAAATTATTTCTACTTAGCTTTTTAAGAATAACGTAGTATTGTATTACCTATTTTCATACTTTGATTTCATTGGATATTATAACTGAGACATTTTAAAGTCTTAAATTTTGTATTTAGTAGGTAATACAAACATAAAAATCGTCCTCCATTTTCTTATTATAGAAATGTCGTATTTCTTCTTATATAGGGACTAATACATATCTACTAGTATAATGATTATTCATTAACATTTTTTTTAACATTTAATTGTTAACAAATAATTATAAATGAAAATAATATTGATAAATTATCTAATTCCTATGTTTATCCATTCAATAGTTTATTGAATGCCACTTTAGTTTGAGATGTTTATATGGAGAAACGATATTTTGAGAAATGCTATTGAGACAATAATGACATAAAGCAGCATTCATAAAAAATTTACCTTGCTATCGAAGTCCGCAAAATCGGCGAAACTATTGGTGAGCGCCTGCTTCGGAGGCGGTGGTCTCGCGGGGCCTTGTTTTGGTGGTGCTGGTCGCGGTGGTGGATTCTTACTCTTTTTGGGAGGTAAGGCCGGGCTCGGACTCTCGGCTCTTGTTGGTGCATGTAGAACCGCAAATGGATCGCAGCCAAATGCGTCTTTATCCTCCTGTGAAGATAGCATTAAATAATGAAATATTAATACAAAATTGTTCATTATGTCACAAATAATAATTTAGGATTGTTAAATTTATATTTTATATTTTTTTAATAATCCTTACATCTGGCTTGGCAGTTGCTGTTTTATCGCCGAATGGGTCATTTTGTTGAGAAGCACCGAATGGATCGTTCGTCGGTTTTGTAAAAGGATCGCTGCCAAAAGCATCTTGATTTGCAAATGGATCGCTGTCGAAACCGTTGGTTTTAAACGCTTTATCATCTAAAAGATACAATTATGTTAAATTTATATCATTAAAATTTTAAAATCTTCCAGCTTACCTGCTGCAAATGGATCTGGAGTACTAAACGAAGTTTGATTTGGTTTCATACTGAAAGGATCATCCGACTTTGTAAATGCATCATCAGCCTGGCCATTAGTTTTCACAATAGCATCGCGGAATTCTGGTCGAATTTCAAGTGCAAATTGTGGAACAGATAATGGATCACCGGAAGCTATAGCACTTTCACAAGCTTTTACTGCATCGCTTATTTGGCGTTGGTTCTCTTCTAATTGCGTTATTTGAGCTTTACTCTGTTGAAGTAAAATACCATAAAATTGTAACATTACAGTTAGAATACATTTATCTTACTATTAGTTAGACAACTTATAAATTGCTCTAGAAAAATAGTGTTACAATAAATAAAATTATAATTGGATATGCAATTAAAGTCACCTGGCTGAATTCAAGCTGCATATCTTGTAATTTTTTAGTCAGTTGTTCAAGTTGCTGTTGAGCAATATCTTGCTGCTCTTGAAGTTTCTGTTCTTCTTCCTTCAGCCCCTGCAGTTCCTGCTTTTTAGACGTTAATTCACTTTCTTGAGCCTGCAATGTCTCCTCCTGTTGCTCAGCTTGCGTTCGTAATTTGTCCACCTGAAATATGACCGACAAATGTAATATTAAAGTTAGAATAATTGAAACCAAATAACAACCAACAAACAACTATATAACTGGTATTCAATGATACTCTCACAACACTATATAAGAGCAGATAGAAACACAAATAAAATATTAACAATTTGACTACATTTATGGAAAGAGTAAAAGAGTTTAGTTTTCAGAAATAGAAATATCATCAAAATCTCATGCTTTTTTTCTATTTTACATTCAAAAAATAATATAGAATAAATACAAAAATTATTATAAAGTATTTCATATAAATAGTAAGTTACATTTCTCAAACCAAGTACAAAATAATCAACAAGAAATCAATAAGACTCAAGGTACCCAATATCAACACTATGTGAACGTTACACAAAATAATCTCACCTCAAATTTTACCTTAATGTTGAAACCATTTCGACTCACACAACCACTGAATTTCTAATGTTTTAATTGATATAAAAAAAGAAATAAAATTGATTGCCAAAAATGAAAAAAAATATTTTCAAAACAACACCAATAAAAATAGATGAATTTCATCTTCTGTGTCATATCAAGAGAACAAATAAGTTAAAAGAACATTCGAAAGAAGACCATCTTCACAGTTCACCAAGTAACTAACAGAACACATGCCAAATTGAAAATTAGTGCATTTTACCAAGGAAACTCAACTCTAATTCGTGAACAACTCACCTTTTCTTGCTCTAGTGCTAATTCGGCATTCACTTCTTCCAATTCTTTGTCTACGGCTGAGCACTAAAATCAACATGCCAAATTCGAACTCAAATGCCAAATCAAATAATAAACAAATTAATGATTAATTTTATGGTTTGATTTTTTAACTCAGTATCAAAATTTAGCACACTACTAAAATTATGCAATATTATAATACAAACACAACTACACATATGTTGCAAATATGTTGTACAAAACTTTTATCACTAACTACGGCACATAAAATATTTAAAAAAATAAGCATTTAAAATGTGAATTTGTAAGATGAATCAAACTATTATTAATCTAAAATCAAGCAGTATCAAACATTACCTGAGCTTTTAGGTCATTCAAGCGCTTTTGAGCTTCGCCCTTTTGGTTCTCTAATTGTTTGAAAGTAGCAGCTAGAGTATCCAGTTCACTCTGCAATAAATGATAATTTAGAAATAAATAATAACAATGATATGATTAACAAATACCTGTAA